CACGGCAACAGGGCGAAAAGTTTTCTATTTATTCGCGTGCATTTACAATATGTCAAAGCATTTCATTTATAACAGGTGCTTATTTACAGTTCTTTATTCTCTTTTTTGCATTATTTATCTATGCACCTTACCGTCTTGCGACGTTGTTTCCCCTAATTCTCTCTCCATTTTCGCTGGCTTAATTCATTTTTTACTTCAACGTAAATAAGCACTAAATTACAAGCGGCAACTGCAACAGTCGCTGTCCCCGTCGCAGTTGTGGCCCTTTTTTTGTGCGTGATTTTTTACTCTATATAGCTGTGTCCTTGCCACTTGCACTTCCGCTTCCGCTTAATGCTGTCTGTTTCCACTCTCTATGTATGCATTGCCATTTCTGCAGTCAACATACACCTGCTCACTCCCCCCATGCCCCTCGCTGTTCATTAGCAACCTGGGCAAATTAAGTTCAGGTTCTGCCAACTTCAAACAACATTTGGTTGCCGTTTTCCATACACTGCGTGAAATGTGCTGCTCTCACTCATAACTGCAAATCGGCTAGTGACATCTGAACTATATACTTAAAGCTACCCCCACCCTAGACTGCTAACACCTGCTGTCAACCGTTGACAAGACGCTTGGAATTATGTGAAAGAGCGAACAGAAAGAAAATGCTGAAAGCCGCTGGAACTGAAATGTTGGCAGTCAGTTTAATTGCTTTACTGCAGCGACAACTGGTCATTAGCCGGCTCCGAAAAAGGGCTGACCCACTGCTCAAGGGGGGGCGCAGTTGAAGTGTGCCCCAACCCCAGCCTTCAACCCGCCCCCCATCCCCCACCAGAGAACTTGTTGAGTGGCCAACGGCAGCAGTTGGTCAGCAGTTGGCAACCACTTGATGATGAGGTTCGGGCCGAACTACTCGTTAAGGTGCTTAACTCGAGGCGTTTCCTTGACAGTTTTACCTGCACTTACCTGCTGCCAACTAACGCTAGACGTAACGGTAAATGCTCCCATATACCCATTAGCGGGCTTCAGCGTCTTTGTTTGGATTAGGCGGCGTCTCCGCTCGTTAAATATCAGGTGCTTACGCAGCGACCGTTTCCCAGTCAAAGGCCCCCTAAATAAAGCTTACAAGTACAACAACTTTGATTATAAACTAGAGCTCGACATTAGGCGCCGAGGCTATGATTAGAGACCGCAAACATATATCAAATTAGGAATATTTTACTGAGCTACAATTTGTATTGCGCACTTAGAGAAATGTGCTCTAACAGGCAGTTTAATTGTGGAAAACCTCAAAGATTTTTCAAAACTTTTATAAATTGTCATAGCTCAAAATGGAAAACAAATTTTGATAGCTTCGCAAAGCTTTCAAAATAAATTGCCAGTCAAACTCAGATATGCAACAGAAATATTTTTAGCTTAGAAATTTAGAAAAGTTTTAAATTTAGCAGAATCAAGCTGTTGAGCAAATCCCATTCTTGGCAGGAAAACAAAAAACATTTTCTATTTCTAAATATATTTTCTATTGTTACAATTTACTATCGTATTTATTGAAATGCTTTTGGATAACACGGGTTATCAGTTCGTATCAGCATTTTCGCTTCAAGGCGTTTGCGAGTGTGTTAAAAGCCAAACTTGAAAGGAATTATCTTTGCTTTTGAGCTGATTCCAGTGCACTTCTGATTTCATGTAGCTAACAACATTTTAATGACTTTCGACAAAGGAAATAAATGTAGAGTAGGATTTGCACACAATCTGCCAATTGCATGCAAAAAAAAAAAAAAAAAAATAGGCAACAGCAAATACCTCTTGCGGGATATATTGCAATAAAATGAGGTGTACTGTGCTTTTTTTTGTTTGGCTGTTTTAAACCGAAAATAAACATTTGCATACGGGCATAAAAAACAGTTGAATTCCACAATCATACTTCTTTATACAAATTTGTGCATGCTTGTGGCAGACCCGAGTCCACAACAAACGCACAGCCACAAAAACTTATTTACAAAAACTGTATTCGTGTGCTGACACTCAAATATGAGTGTGTGCGAGTGTGTGTGTGTGTGTGTGTGTGCTTGGTGTTGCCCGTTGAGAGCCAGAAATTGCAACGTACATGATTTTCTGTATATTTTTTTTTTTTTTGTGCTCATATAAAACGAAGAGCTTGTAATATGCAAAATAACTTTAATTACCAGCTACGTGCAGACAGCAGCAGCAACAACAAAAAGGATTTTAAATAGGAAAAAAAAATGGTGTATATAAAACGACGTGTGGAACAACAATTTGTTTAGCCAGAAAACTTGGTTCATTTTGAAAAGTTAACTAGTTTGGCAAAAGGAATTTATTAAATGAAAGTTTTCCCATTCTCAAGTGCAACTTTTAATCTACCAAAACATCTGACGGGCCCAACTCGAAGTTTAAAGAATCTAAAATTAAAAAAAAAAAATGAATTTGATGCAAATTTCAAATCATTCTCGCTTCGAGCTTAGCATTTTTTTTACTCGCAAACAGTTTGGATTTTTCATTTTTGGTCAGTTTTCAATTTTTGTGCCTAAAAAAAGACCAAAAAAAAAGGGTTCATATCAAAAATTCTTCATTTCTTGTAACAAAATGCAATTTCGCAAATTTGAAAGTCCATTAACCAAATTTTCTACCTAGCGACTTGCGCATATTAAGTATACATTTTCAAGTCTCTCCCACTAGGCCGCAAAACAGTTCTAAAACAGCAAGAAAGTATTTTTAATAATAACTAAATAAAATTAATAGTTTTTTTCACACTAGGATATGCTCAGATTTGGAAAACATATTATTTTGTAGAGGCCGTCGCAATTGAAAGTTTGCAAAGTCTGCTAAAGTCTGCTTTATTCGTCTCTATGAATAGATCATTATTGTTATCTTTAAAACAGTCGTTCAAGCCGGCAACTTCTCGCTTGCTGGTCCGACGCTATGGCTTTTAAAGCCATACAAATCTCAATTATATGTTATGCCTGTTTTGTTGTTGATGACTTCAGCATTTCTTTCCACCCTTGGTTCGATTCTTCCAGTAAATATTTTAACTAAATTTTGTTGTTCAGTTGTCTGCGTAAGCAGCGCTCCTGTACTGATTTCGTGGTTATAATATGTTGTTTCTTAAACACAAAGCTTTAAAGGAATACTAATCAAGCACTTCACCTTTTGTTAACGCTCATCTCTGAATTAATTTATTGCTGGAGTTGGCTGCACATTGTTTGAGCTGCGAGCAGCAAAATGAAATGACGAGCTGTGCTTTAATTGGAAAAGGAATGTGGCTACACAGCAAGTGGCAATGAAGCTGGCCAACAAACTGGGGCACATGTGCAAAGAGAGAAAGAAATGTCGGGCTGGTTCTACGGGGTTGCGTATAGCATGATAAGAGAAGAGAGCCTTGAACTCGTTGTGAGTTCAGGTGAAAAGTGTAGAGTCGAAAATTTTTAATAATTAAATAGAGCCCCAAACTGGGACTCAGTTGTATCAGTATCAATGTGCACAGCGTGCCCCAAATGGTTGGCAGGGGGCGGGCGGAGAATTAAAAGGTGCGGCAAAAACTTTCATTTCAGTTTTGTAGCTGTGCAAACATTAAAACGAAAGTTTTTAAAAGCAACCACAATATTTACGTCTCGTGTGTGTGTGTGTGTGGCATGTGTTGCAGTCAAGTTTTGTTGCTGCCGCTGCCGCTGTGTATGTGGCATGGCGCATCAAAGTGGCAGCTTTAAGGCGCTTATTGCTCAGTTTGCAGTTTTTATAGTCAAAAGGCAACACGCCAAGTTGCTTAAACAGCAACAACAACAGCAACAACAGGCGCCATTTGTTGCCACATGTTGTAACTGTTGCCGCATTAAATGTGCAACCCCTTAGTTAAATGTTGTCGTTGTTGTTGTTGCTGTTTCTGTTGCTGCGAATTTCACTTTTATGTTGGCGCATCTACGCTGCTTTTATGCTGTTGCAACCGACAGTTGCATGCCCCTACGCCCCCTCCCTCCCATGCGCTGCCCACAAACAGTTCACTGGGCACCACCAGCAGAGATTTCACTTCATTTTATGTTGTCAGACTTCCGAGTGCGCCGAGTTCTTGTTATAAAAAAGCCAAATTCATTTTGCACATATAACTTTTATACCCCCCACCTCCTTACACACACACACACACACACATGCAAGTGGCGCTCTCTCTGTGTGTGTGTGTGTGTGTGCTATGTTTATGTTCCCTGCTGCTTCAACTTGACATCTCTTGGTTAATTTTGCCAGCCGCAGCTCTAAAAGGACAGGCGCAGTTGGAAACAAGTTTTTGTTGCTGCATTTGCAGTTTGCAATATTATTTATTGAAGGCCAGGCTGCAAACAGGCTTAAACCAAAACGGGCTTAGCCCGAAACTCGAACTTCTAGTTTTTCCCGTACGAACCGCAGCACTCGAAAAAAAAACAGGCTGAACCTGAGCCTGAACCGAATCATTTGAAGAATGGACTAAATATTGGTTCGAGCTGCAAGCATAAAACCGTATATCCAAAAGAGTAACTATTTATAATTTTAAAGGAGTTTTCCCTGACAAAAGCTCTCCTTTGGTTTAAAAGTGAGCACCAAGACGAAGCTTGAAATGCAGCTCAATAAATGTGCGTCGAACTGTCAAACTAAAGGTCGCCGGTTCTAATTGATTTTTATTGATTTCTTATCTATTTACATTTCTTCCCTATCCATTTGAGCCTGGCAACGCCGGGTAATTTCTGGAACTAATCAAAAATTCGTTATTAAACTGTATTTCAATTTCTCTTCTGCCTATTTACAGCTCTAACGAAATGATTACCCAAGGCTCAAACCTAACAGAAGGAACCAAATTTGAAAGGTAAAAAGGATAAAAAATACCTAAAATAAAGAAAAGTCAGAGAAAAGCAAACGGCCAGCAAAAGTAAACAAAAATATAATTCAATTTTATAGCCAAAGGGTGAAAACTAAAGCCGAAACCAAAAACCAAAAATTAAAAACCAAAAAGCAGAAACCAGAATCAGAACCAAAAAAAAAAAAATAAAATCAAGTGAAAAAAAAAACGTAACGTAAACCACCGCAAAACAATTGCTTTAAAGGAACGTGAGAAATCAATTGCAGCGACAGCAACAAGAACCAGAACCACGCCCACAAAATGACGCTGCGCATATCGGCCAAATCGAGAAATCATCTTGGACTCATTATTTATGGCTTTGTGTTGCTTTTGACAACAACCATGCCATCTATCGAAGCTGGACGCATTTTCGGTAAGTTCTCTGTTTTTTGTTTGTTTACATTTTTTTTTTTTTTTGTGGAGCTGAGCTGAAGTGAGCTTCATTTGGACAATATGCCATCAGCTGTTGTGGCCTTAATTAATGCGCACAATTTGCAGCTAATGGAATTTTTAATACAATGAAAACGCAATGTGGACACATTTCGCAAATTGGCTGCGGCAAGTGAGAGCTTGGCACGAGTCGCAAATTGACAACCCATCTACGTCTTCTTCTTGCTCGCATATCCTGCAGACCAAGAGGACGCGCGGGTTGCATGCACTTGTTAGTCGCATAATCACAATGTGGAGAGTCTGTTTGGCATAAAATATGTAATTGATATACCAAATAATAAGGGGGAAAATGTATTCAAGCTCTTCGGCTTCTGCTATATACCCTACAAAGCATTAGCCATGAGGTTGTATGCACTTTGAGCTATATGTACATTTGGTAGAGTTTCCTTCTTCTTCTTTCATAAACCTTGCAATCAGCAGATCAGAGCGTATTATAGAGCAAGGTGTCTGGTCAATCGCAGTAGAAACACAGGGTATTCTACGTTTTTTATATGCACTTAAGCACTCTTAATACAGGGTATTTACGTGTGGAGCACACTGTATTTTTTTTATATTGGATTCGGGTCATATAGCTGTTGGTGCGGCGGGCACATGTTATTTTCGTATTAATTAGTATTACAAAAGGTTGCGTTTTTCCATGCTGCTCGATTTCATGTACGTTAATGAGCTGAGCCACCCTCCCCCTGCCCCTCACCCTCTGCCCCTGCCCCCTATGCCTATCCCTACCCTAGACAACAAGCCATTTACACATGCATGTCTGTCTGCACGAGAAACATATGTGTTTGTGTGTGTGTGTGTGTATATCTGAATACTAAAGTCAATGATTGTGTGTGTTTTGTAAAAGAAATTACTTGGAAACACGTTTGCTAAAAAAAGGTTTTCGATTAGAAAAGCGAGAGGCCGCACTGAGTGAGGGAAAGGGAGAGGGGGTGAGAGGGTAGGGGCTGCGGCCCAATTAACCGCATAAAAATGCTCATAAATGAAGCAAACGTTTTGTACATGTGGTCATAATTTACATGTAATTATGGCCACACACAAATAATACTGCCTGGCGAACCAAAATACACACATCAAACGGTTTGCGTAAATGGCGTTTAAAAAGGTTGACTACAGCAGGGTCCGGCAGAACGGAGGGGTTTTATGTTATCAAAACAGGCTACGGCAGCTAATTGCAGTTTTGTCTGCCTGGACGCACTTGAAAAAGCGCACATTAGATTTTGTCTATAGAGGCGAGTCTGCATACGTTCGCATTTATGCGGCTGGCAATGATCAGAGCCAACAACAAATGAAAACCCTGAACAAAAACAACTAATAACAAACAACAACAACAACAATAACAATAGCAACAGCAACCAGCGACTTTTGTTGACACACATTTTGTTGTGGCCGGCCCTAAAAAGTATGCTACGAAAATTTGCACGCAAACGAGAGAATTCGCGCGCCAGCAACAGCAAAAGAGACAACAATAAAGCGCAGATAAAAAATACAAAAACACACACACACACACAAACACACATGCAAACATGTCGAATCTAAATATGTGTGTGCGTGTGTGTGTGTGTGTGTGTATTGGCATTAGGCTGGCAGTTGCGCGTCGCTTTTTGTCGAGCAATTTAAATGACGCTGCCGAGTGGCAACAACCGCAGCAGCCGCAACAACAACAACAACTAAACCAATAAAACTGCAGCCAAGCGTGTGTTGACACACACACACACACACCTACACTCAGCCCTCACACACACACACACACATCGCCGCAGTGAAAGCGTAAAGTTTACGCGCTTGTTTGCTATAATTTCGATTGTTTTTACTGAGCGCCGCGCAGCAGCCGCCGTTGTGGCACCGCCACGCCCATCGACAAGCAAACAGGCTGCATGCACCCATCTACCCATCACTCTGCCCTCACTGAGCCAACAGCCCTTCGTGCTAGCTGCGACAATTGCGCGCCATTTTCGCTGCAATTTTCGTTTTATTGATGTGCGCGCCGCTCAGCTGTTGTTCTTGCTACAACTGCGCTAGCTACTTGCAACAGCAGCTTGCAACAAAAACAACAACAACAACAGTCGCATAAAATATGCCCCATAAGTGGCACAGTTTTGCATTTGAGATTTTTGCAGTTGTTGCGTGCTTTTGGTTAAGTGCAAACTGAAAATTGATGAAAAACTTTCGCTCAAAATGTTGCGCAATTAAAGTTGCAACAACAACAACAACAACAGGGCGACAGGCAGCAACTGCACTCAGTAGCACACTTTATGGCCACGCCCTGATTGCTAACAATTTAAGTGGGCGTCGCCTATGTAACTAATTGCGCAGATAAACTGCTCAGTCTGTGATTAAAGCAAAGGATGTAAAGGATGCGCCAGATACGACAGAGACAAATCAGAGATGTTCAACCTACAAAAAGGATTTGAATTTTATAGTAAGATATAATATTAAAAGCTACGTCCACTGTTCACTTATATGCCAATTAGTCTCTTGAGTTTAGAAAAACTATTAGTCGAAATTTCCGCTGTTTTGTAATATTCTTTATTATTTGTCAATCGTCAAAGACTTACTTTACATTGTTAAGATATCTTAACTTCATGCTCAGTTCCAGAGTGTTTTCCAATTTTGTTGAAAAATGTAGTATTAACATTTTTTATTATTGTACTTCATGCTCAGTTTTAGAGAGTATTCGAATTATTTTGTCAGTTTCAGAGAAGCAATTAGTCTAACATCGAGTTAATGTGTAAAATGTTGTTTTATTTCCCAATCATTGAAAACTTTCGAACATTTGCTTTCCAACCAGCTCTCATTTTTAATTATTGATTCTTATTTCTTCACGGAGATTCGATCCCTAAACTTTGTGCTCATTTGCGCAAGTGATTTCATATATTTTTTGCCCATCTATTTTGGTCTTAATTTGCTTCAGCTAGACATCCATATGCATTAAATATTTTAGACTCTGGTTGGCAATTATTGACAGCAAACAATTTCATTAAAAATTTCGCTGGAATTTAGGCTTTTTGTGTTTTTTTTTTTTGCACACTTCCCATTAAATTTTTATTGATTCTTCCAAAGAGTTTTACAGCTGCCACAAAGTGTTGCAGGCATTCGAGACAGTTATTCAATCTGTGTCAATTTGGCTTAAGTCAGCAAAAAAAATGCGAGAACAACATCCCCTCCCACCAACAGTTCCTGTGCCTGTGGAACAAAAGTTTATTTTACCAACAAGTTTTGTCTTGATATCAGCACGTAGCAGGTGGCAGGTGGCAGGTGGCAGGACGCAGCCTTCCACCTTCCTCAGGCAGTTGAATGCATGTGATGTTTATGTGTTTTGGGGCCAGGTCAAAGCTGCCAAATCAAACGTTTAATGACCCTCAGCGTCTATTAACGGGCACACACTAATTTTCACACACACACACACACGCACATGCCATGACATCACACGCACACACACACATACAGCCCGTTAACGATATCTTTTTAAATTATTCATGCGACGTCTAAGAATAAACAATTTTTGTGGCCTGCCATCAGACGTACTTTATATTCAGCTCATTATATTAAAGCCAAACAATTGGCGACATCAACACGAGCAACAACAACAACAGCAACAGCAACAAACATTTAAGAAAAAAAAACCGCCGCTTCTTCTTATTCTTTTAGCTGGCATTACATTTTAGCGAGGCGTTGTCCTTGGCGGCAGCGCTGTCTGGCGTAATTTCTTTATTGGATTCATTGTGCGCCCTCAGCAAATTTGCACTTGCTACTTGCCGCTTGCCGCTTGCCTCTTGCCTCTTGCTACTTGCCACAGGCAACGGCAGCGGCAGCAGCTGCAAAAGATACTAAAAACAATTATATAAATTGGCTTTGACTTTTATTTAAGGCATTTTACTTTTTAAGCCATATTTATGAACAAGTTTAGCTAACTTAGTTTTCATATACGGCAAAATAAGAACACGAGCAGCTGCTACTAATGAAAAAGGTACAATAAATTTATAAAGTGGATATTTGAGAAAAATAAAACTTAAGTTAACTTTGCTTTATGCTTTTTTTAAAAGTTATATACCAGTATATATTTTTAATATATATATTCATATTTAATACTTATCAGAATTAAATGTGAGCTATTTAAAGGATTTGGGTTCCTAGCTGAGATTATTTTCTGCTTGAAAGAACAGCAAGAGTATTTAATAGTCGACACATTTTCACAAGTATTTTGTTTTAATTCGCATCAATAGATGATAGATGACGCAAATACTTCAATTCGGGCTTGAATGTGCTTGATTTCAAAAAATAGAACAAAACGTTGTTTTTTCTTTGCAGTCAAAGCTAAAAATATCTCGACTAATTTTTTGAGACAAATTAAATTATTTGCTAAGAAAATTCTGTGAAAAATCTAAATTGACACAGAAAACAACAATACATAACAAGTAGCAGTGCTCAAGTCGGGAGTGAACGACTAGGCAATACCCTGAACATAGAATCGAGCTGCCATTCTACTATGGCAAATGCTTTTTTGATAGTCTACAGCTGTTCAAATATATATAAATATGCCATCTTATGTCATATTAATGATGTGGCTTTACCTTAAAAGAAGAGTATCATTCAATTGTGACAGGACTAGGACGAGGTATCCAAGTAATATTTGTAATGAATATGTATCCTAAGAGATCTCATATACAAAGTTTGTTATATAAGACTTTTATAATCTGCGAGTTATGCTTAAAGAACTTTAACTTAAAATCGATATATATCGATATGTTGAAAATAGTCGGAGTTATGACGGGAATGTAGATTTATTTTGTAGACGGACAAACGAACATGTCTAGTTCGATTCAGAGCCTCATTAAGACCAAGCTTATATATATATATATACTTTATGGGATCGCAGATAGCCTCCTACAATGTGCATGCGTACAGGGTATATAAATTTGCAAA